GAAGTCCAGCCGCGTCGGGCGGAAGGACTCAAACTGTGTCTCGGAGATCGACTCGCACAGCGAGATCGGCATCAAGAGCCAGCCCGGGTGCTTCAACGGCAAGCTCGCCTCTGGCCTCTTCTTCGCCGGGAGCGGCTCACGGGGCAGAGAGCGGGCCGGTGTCGTGGGAGGAGATATCGGCACTGATCAGTGTCGCCGTTCGGGAGGCAGTCAGCGCCGCCACCGAGAACGGAGAAACTACGAGGTAGGTCTGCGGAGCTGGAGAGTTCCCCTCTTCCATGGGAGGCAGGGCCGGAGTATCAGGGTGCGGGCAATGGGCCAGCCACCTAACACCTCTCGCTTTTGATGGTGCACCCTCTGGGACAGGGGGCGTAGGCAACTCTATTCGCCAGAGGATCATCAGCCACAAATAGGGGAGAACGGGGCGATTTGGCCGGTCTTTTGTGACAACGATATTTTGAGAAAACCAGCGGGCGTTTGGTCGATTTCTCCATGGAGGGGTGTGGGGCGTTCAATTGTTGTTCCGGCCTATTACTTGCATCATGCCGGGACATCTCGTTTCGGTAGTAATTAAAGGGACCCTCCCACCTTCAAAAAAGTTAATAAATTGGCATGAAAGTGATGTCGCTCGGTTCAGAAAGAGCAAAAACGAGTATCTACCAAATTTCATCGAAAAATATTCACCGGTTTTCAAGATATTAGACTTTTACTTTTGTTTACTTTTTGGGATCTCCGCTGTTCCTAGCGACTTTATTTGAAAGTGCGGCATTTGTTGCGCGCAAAGCAGCATATACCACCGCGTGCTACAAAACGTTTTAGTCAAACATTTAACGGACGTTCGAAAGCCTGATGACGTCATCAGATTCCCGTAATGGTTAAGAGATAGGGACCACGCTGGTCCCACCCTGCAAGTAAAGGGAAGAAATTTCTTGAACACCATAAAGCTGTGGGGGTTGCGACCAGGATAAATGGTGGTTTCTGAGCCTGGCCGCAAACTTGGCTATCTCAACTCAAAACTAATGTTAAGGTGGGAGGGTCCCTTTAATCGTTCTTTCAAAGACTGCACGGCGGCCAAATAACCCCGGTACCGGGGTCATTTGGCCGGGGGAGTAGGGTCATTTGGCCGGGCATGTGATTCAGAGATATACCCTTTACAGAGCTGAGACAACCTGAAATATTGTCGCCCAATATTGTGCTTAACTCATGAATTCTGGATTGATTCGACCACAGACTTCTCTATATATGGACTGTGCGCTGATCCGAGGAAATCAGCATTGGAGACCCAAAAATAAGTGCACTTTTATGCATCTTTCTACAATGAAAAGGGTATCAGAATATTTACCAATTTGGATATAGGGTAGCCCATACCTTTATCTATTGGTCGGATTAATTTTTGTTTTGTTGAATTCAAGATAAATAAGAAATAAATGCATATAAATGAGAACATGTTTTCTCGTTCAGTTAGCCATTTGTTCACGCTAGAGGTATATACTTCACAAATGCAGCCGTACTTTGCACGCATTTTCTTGCTTTTGAATGTTGGTTGCATTCAAGGCCCTAAAACATAAAACATTGCATTGTTGGTTGTCGTTGCTAATTTGTCGGATCGAGACATTTACGTTGGTTTTGAAAAGGGCTTTGAGAAATAACGATACATAATATAAGGCTACAATGAATCATTAAAAATAAAAAATAGCTTAAAAAAATAGCTTAAAATAGCTTAAAAACGGTTAAAAAGGAAAATATTGTCGATCACTACCTCATCACGAACGGATCAGAAAACGTGTGGTGCGAAGAAGTCATTCCGAATATCAAGCCAGAGTCAGGACAGAAAAAATGTGAAACGAAACATAATTTCTAGCAAAAAGGCAACTTTTTTAGCATTTTTAGCATCCCGTATAACTAAAGGGAAAAACTTTCACAGACGAAACCACCAATCGAGATAAGAGATTACGCTGAAGACAATCAGATTTGCAAGTTTACTTTTGCAAACGCTGACTTCTGTGAGACTCACACAGCAAGAAGAAAAACAGGACTTTATCGACGGCGCCAGTCTCAGCATACTTCCTATAATGCCTAGTGCCTTTTAATGCTTAATGCTTTTTAATGCTATAATGCTTAATGCCTAGAATCAACTTTTGGACGAAGAAATAAAGTTCAAAAAACGTCGAGTTTTAGAGCTCAAGGATGACTGCCAGAAACAACGTAACCTGCTTTACCGTTCGCTTTCTCTTTTCAAATATTTTTGGCTCTCATAATGTACGGTCTACTATTTCAACGTTTGTCAAGAGCAAAGAGAGAACCCATGAACGAAAACTTCAACGCATTGGAATTCATGCCGACTGCCAACCTTGCGACCCTTCGAAGGTTATCTTCAATCTATCTTCCAAACCTGTTCCAAACAGATTCAAGTGTCTGCTCGATTTTGGACTGGAATTTAAGCTACCAGTGTGGAAGCTTCACTTTTATGACTACTTTCTGTCCTTTGAGAAACTCATACACTCGATTTCAAGACTGCATCTACCAGAAAGATTTCAATTTCAAGATGTAACGACGAAGCTCAGAAATGTCTGTCAGAAGTACTATCATGGCTTCAAATCATCTAAAGTGTTCTCATCAATATTTACAAAGGACGATGTTAACCTGTTTGTCGCAGACGCAGCAGCCGGCGCCGACTCGGTGACGTGTGTGCCTGTGCGTCACGAGCGCTCTATAGTGGACTGTATCTTGTTTCTGTGTGACTGGGCTTCGCTACTGATCCATGGCATTTAGGTGACTGAAACGCAGACCCTCATGATACAAGGATAAGAAGGGATAGAGGCCACGATGGCGTGACTCGAGGGGAGGTTAAAGAGTCGCGCTGACGCAACGGGGGTTCGTAGGACAGAGTCCACGATGACGTGAACAGAGGTGAGGAATAGAGACCGTGATGGCACGATCGGGCGAGGTTGGGGCTGTGCCGGCCTACCTTTAAGAGAGATAAGGATAGAGGCCACGATGGCGTGACACGAGGGAAGGTTAAAGAGTCGCGCTGGCGCAACAGGGGGCTCGTAAGGACAGAGTCCACGATGGCGTGAACGGAGGTGAGGAATTAGAGACCGTGATGGCACGATCGGGCGAGGTTGGGCTGTGCCGACCTACCTTTAAGAGAGATAAGGATAGAGGCCACGATGGCGTGACACGAGGGAAGGTTAAAGAGTCGCGCTGGCGCAACAGGGGCTTGTAAGGACACGGACAGAGTCCACGATGGCGTGAACAGAGGCGAGGAATAGAGACCGTGATGGCACGATCGGGCGAGGTATAGGGAGGAGGGTAATTCTGCGTTTGAAGTGTACTTGAAGTGAAGTGTAACTGGAATGTATACTGTGCCGCTATCTTGATTCTATCACTCCTCGCTCTCGGTGATCACTTCCTTTGTCACACCACTGCACTGATTTCACAGTCTGTATTGCAAAGAGCAAGATCCGGCAAACCAATTACACTGCTTGAAGGCTGCGACGAGCGGAACGAAACAACCGCCCGGCTCGACGACTGAGGCAGAACAGAGAGAAACTTGAGTATACTGTGCCGCTAACTTGAAGTCTTTTGCTCAATCGCTCCAGGTGACCACTTCCTTGGACACACCACTGCACTTATTCACAGTCTATATTGCGATGAGCAAGAGCCGGCAGAGAACCACCACACTGCGTGGAGGCTGAGCCGAGCGGAGCGAAACAACCGCACGGCGCGAAGACTGAGAGAGAACAGAGAGAGGGAGGTGTTTACAGCAGGTTTAAATACGACTGGCAATGGGGTCACACACAGGGGAGATAGCGAGGGAGCAAAGCACACGGTATTAGGCAAACTAACTGGACGCGACGAACCGGAGATAAAGAAAGAGATAGGGCGCGACGCAGCGCGCCAACGGCCGCCGGGACGGACGCAGCGCGCTAAACAAACGTAACCGGGCCTGCCGCGCCGACGACGTTCCCCGTGAACAAAGCTATCGACGGGCGTCGCCGCGAGAGGGGTCAGGTCCGGCACACACAGGTGCGCGCAAAACACCCCCACCGGGGCGGGGGGGGGGACGGCGCGGCGGCCCGCTCGGCTGACCCACCGGCCGCCCGCCACCCTGCTCGCGAGACAGGCGGCAGGACAGTTTTGGCGGTCACATCCCGCCCCCCGTGTTCGACTCTACGAGAACACTAAACTCTGTACCGCCACTGATATATCGGCTGGTAGAAGGCCTCGACGGGGCGGAGTCCGGACCGGGCGAGCAATCGGCAGTTCCCACATATTTACACATATTTACATTACTGTTCACAGCAGTTGCTCACCGTTCTCCCATCACCGCGATCTGGGCGACGGCCATCTACCCGCTTATCCTCCCGCTGTCTTGGTCTGGACAGAACGGGCTACTTGATCTGGTCCCGGGAACACCTGGGTCATGCGGGCGAGTGGTCGCGTAGCCGGCGGTGTGTTGGAGTCGGCGAGGAGCGCTGGATCTCCGGCGAGCATGCTCTTGATGCCCCTCCGTCGGTTGCGTGGCTGGGGCGAGGGCATGCATCGCTCGCGGTGCTGCCGCTGCTGCTGCTGCTGCTGCTTGCTTGTCGCGTAGACTCTGGGACGAGAGCATGCACCGCCCCCGGTGCTGCTGCTGCCGCTGATGCTTTCTGTTGCGCGGGCTCTTGGACGAGGGCATGCACCGCCCCCGTAAGGGCCCAGCCGAAGTCGGTTCGGATGGCGACTGGCTGCCCTGGTGGTCCAGCTCTCACCTCGTGCTGGATCACAGCTTCGAGAACATTGGCACCCAGAAGCAGTTGCACTTCGCCTTTGGAACAGTCTTGCACATCTAGGTTCTCCAGGTGACGCCATGTTTGTCGGTGCCGTTCGCTGATTCGTGGCACAGAGATGTTCATCTTCGGTACGGCTTACACCTCGGATAATGTTATCCGCTTCTCGCTGGCCTCAGGGGACAGACCTTGCACTTCCATTACCAGCTTCCTGGCCACTTGCCCCTTTCCAGTGCCTTGAATCGTCTGCATACATAGTTCCTGCGGCTCGCCTGAGATGCCCAGCTTGTCCGCTAATTTCTGACTGCATAGGGATGTCTGGGCGCCAGGGTCTAGTAGAGCCAGCGTGTCTTTGGTTCCTGTACTTCCAAAGACTCGGACTGAGACTACTTGCAGCAGCGTAACATTGCCTTTGTCTTCTTGGTGGCATCCCAAGCTGCCACGACCCTCTTCTGCTTGGTTGCGAGACGTATCCTCGAAACTGCTTCATCAGCCTTTCTCTCCGTTTCCGCGGTTGACACTTCGGGTGGCTGAAGCCTGACTGGCTGGCCGCCGTGGAGGAGAGCGTGGTGCCGGTACTTGCAGCCGTTCTTCCCACAGCGTTTTGCCTTCCGGCAGTCTTTCACGCGATGGCCCTTCTTCAGGCACCGGAAACATCGTTGCTCACCAAACACGTGCTTCAACCGGGCGTCGGGAGATTTTGCAGTGAACAGCTTGCACTGATCCAGGTTGTGATGTTTTCCGCAGAGAGAACATTCCTGTTTCTGGATGGGCCTCGCAGCTGTGGTAAAGGCCTGTCTGCTGACAGTCTCAACGGCGCTCTCCTTGCTGTTCTTACGGCTGGCTTCTTCAAAGCTCTGTTTTCCTTTGGGGCAGCTTCTGCTTATCTTAACTTGAGTCTGCAGCCACGCATCTACATCCAATAGCGACGGTTTTCCAGGTTTCAGCTCCAAAGAGAACTTGCCCCACTCGCGAGGTTTCAGCTCCAAAGAGAACTTGCCCCACTCGCGCCTCAGCTCTCTTGGTAGTTTCTCCACTGTTCGCTGCAAGCTATAGCTGCTGTGCAGGTCTGCGTTCGCTCCTATGTTCTGCAGAATAGTGACCGCACAGTGCACGGTTGCTTGAAATATTTCCAGTGATTCTGCGTCGTCTTCACGTGGGTCCGGAGCGTCGAAGATGCTGTTGAGGTTGTGCTGAATGACGTCATCGTCCTGGCCGAAACGCTCTTCAAGCGCCTTTAGAGCTTGGTGGTAGAGATTTCCGTCGTACAGCATGCCAGATATGGTCTGCTGTGCCAGACCACTTACAGATGATTGTAGGTGGGCGATTTTCTCAGTGTCGGAGAGGGATGGTTGGTCATGGACCAGCGCCTTGAATAACCCAACCCACCTCGGCCATTCTGATGCCTTTCCGCTGAAGGTAGGGAGAGATAGTCTTGGAATACTCTTTGTGAAGGCAGAAAACGCGGTCGCTCCATCTGTGCGCGGCGCCTGCTGCGGGCCTTGCAGTCCTTGTATCCATGACGTCGCGTTTCCCACCTTGCGTGATTCCGATCTTTCAACTGGCTCTTCAAGATGCGCTCCCACTCGACGGGCCGTTCCGGCGATCGCTCCTTCACGTACTTCACGCTGACGGCTCCCGATCACAACCTCTTTGCCTCCAAACAGTTCATCCTCAAAATCATTTCTTCTTTCCATTTGGAGGTCATCGCTGAGCTCTTTGCACAGGTTGGCTTTTAGCTGGGCGGCTTCAGCTTCATCTTCAGCGTCTTGGAGCCGTCTTCTCCTCTGAGCTTCCCTTTCTTAACGCTGTCTCTCCTCTTCTTGCTTCTCCTGAATTCTTCGTCTCTCCTCTTCTTGCTTCTCCTGAATTCGTCGTCTCTCATCTTCTTGCTTCTCTTGAAGCCGCTCCTGTTCTTGCTTGCGCTTCAGCTGCTGTAGGAGTAAAGACTTTGACTTTGCGGCGACTTCTGCTTCAACCTGCAAAGCTTTCGAGGCGTTACTTATGTTGCTTCTCTGGGCGACAGATACATGAGAGCCGGCTTCTGATGGCGCCTCATCTTTGCGCTCAGCAAGGTGCTGAGTGATTCTTTCCCCAATTTCTTGTCTGTCGCGCTCGGCTTTTGCGCAATACGCTTCTGCCTCAGCTCTTTCAGTTTGAGATGTCAGACAGGCTTCTAAAGCTTCATTTGCTGCGATGACACCTTCCAGGGTGTCATCGATGCGACCGTGAGTCAATGGTTTCCAACAAACCTGCCAGGCGCGACCGACTCCCGCGAGCGGCGATGATCGCTTCCGCTCGGTGACACGCCCGTGAGAATGCTGCCAACTTTTGCCCCCGTTTTCGGCGCAGCAGTTTCAAGTTTTCACTGGCTGCTTCTTGACGAGCTTCTTCCTGGACGCTCTCTTCCTGCTCGGCTGCGCCGGGCTGATCTGTACCTTCTGTTTCTGACATGATGCGGGCTCTATCCGGCCCGGAGGACCAGTTAAATGTCGCAGACGCAGCAGCCGGCGCCGACTCGGTGACGTTTGTGCCTGTGCGTCACGAGCGCTCTATAGTGGACTGTATCTTGTTTCTGTGTGACTGGGCTTGGCTACTGGTCCATGGCATTTAGGTGACTGAAACGCAGACCCTCATAACAGGTACAAGGATGAGTAGGGATAGAGGCCACGATGGCGTGACTCGAGGGGAGGTTAAAGAGTCGCGCTGGCGCAACGGGGGTTCGTAGGACAGAGTCCACGATGGCGTGAACGGAGGTGAGGAATTAGAGACCGTGATGGCACGATCGGGCGAGGTTGGGCTGTGCCGACCTACCTTTAAGAGAGATAAGGATAGAGGCCACGATGGCGTGACACGAGGGAAGGTTAAAGAGTCGCGCTGGCGCAACAGGGGCTCGTAAGGACAGAGTCCACGATGGCGTGAACAGAGGCGAGGAATAGAGACCGTGATGGCACGATCGGGCGAGGTATAGGGAGGAGGGTAATTCTGCGTTTGAAGTGTGAAGTGAAGTGTAACTGGAATGTATACTGTGCCGCTATCTTGATTCTATCACTCCTCGCTCTCGGTGATCACTTCCTTTGTCACACCACTGCACTGATTTCACAGTCTGTATTGCAAAGAGCAAGATCCGGCAAACCAATTACACTGCTTGAAGGCTGCGACGAGCGGAACGAAACAACCGCCCGGCTCGACGACTGAGGCAGAACAGAGAGAAACTTGAGTATACTGTGCCGCTAACTTGAAGTCTTTTGCTCAATCGCTCCAGGTGACCACTTCCTTGGACACACCACTGCACTTATTCACAGTCTATATTGCGATGAGCAAGAGCCGGCAGAGAACCACCACACTGCGTGGAGGCTGAGCCGAGCAGAGCGAAACAACCGCACGGCGCGAAGACTGAGAGAGAACAGAGAGAGGGAGGTGTTTACAGCAGGTTTAAATACGACTGGCAATGGGGTCACACACAGGGGAGATAGCGAGGGAGCAAAGCAAACGGTATTAGGCAAACTAACTGGACGCGACGAACCGGAGATAAAGAAAGAGATAGGGCGCGACGCAGCGCGCCAACGGCCGCCGGGACGGACGCAGCGCGCTAAACAAACGTAACCGGGCCTGCCGCGCCGACGACGTTCCCCGTGAACAAAGCTATCGACGGGCGTCGCCGCGAGAGGGGTCAGGTCCGGCCAGGGGCGGATCCAGAAAATCTCCAAGGGAGGGGCCATTAGAAACCAGGAGGCCCCCCCCCATAATCCCACCTGTTGGAGGCCCCATCTTCCCACTTGTTGGCCCCCCCCAAAAAAAACTGCGTCTATTGAGCTTATCTAGCTGTTCAGGCAACATCTCAACATCTGTGCAGGCTTGGAGGCCCTCTGTGCAGGTTAGGAGGCCCTGTAAAAGTGGTCATCTCTGTGAGTATAAGAGACCTCCAAGTTATGAAAAGCCTTACCAATCTTCTAACAAAGAAGTCTTCTCAGCTAGTCTTCTAAGAAATAACTAAGTGGGTAGGTTAAAAAAAACTCATCGGATTTCGGCCACTTTATTTTCAGGAGGCCCCCTTTTCAGCTTTTTAACTTTTTAACTTTTTATTTTATTTTTGAAAAAAAAATCGGCCAAGGGGGGGGGGCCATGGCCCCCATGGCCCCCCCCTTGTATCCGCGCCTGGGTCCGGCACACACAGGTGCGCGCAAAACACCCCCACCGGGGCGGGGGGGGGGACGGCGCGGCGGCCCGCTCGGCTGACCCACCGGCCGCCCGCCACCCTGCTCGCGAGACAGGCGGCAGGACAGTTTTGGCGGTCACACTGTTGAAAGAGTGGTCAGCGAATAGGTCAATAATCGTCACGAAACCGGACAAAGGTAGGGGGGTCGTTATTTTAGACAAGTGCAAGTATGATGAGAAAATGTCTGTTATTTTAGCTGATGAATCTAAGTTCAGACTTGTGAATGATTCGACAGAATGTCCAGCACTGCAGCCTAACTCTCTCCACAAAGTCATGTTGCAGGTTGAGGATAAGGTTAACAGACTACTAGATAGAATGAAAAAGTTAGGAATGATTTCAAAAGAAGTATACTCCAGTCTTTTTGCATCGGGCTCCGTTCCGGGCATTTTGTATGGTCTCCCAAGAGTGCACAAGCTTCTGGTTCCATTACGTCCTATTTTTTCTGCCTGTGGTACACCTACTTTTAAGCTGGCCAAGTACCTAGTTCCCATTCTCTCACCACTTACAGTAAATGACTTTACCATAAAGAACAGCTATGAGTTTGCCAACGATGTACGCCAACTTAAGGCCAACGACAACATGTACATGGCTAGTTTTGATGTTGAGAACCTGTTTACGAACATCCCCGTCAAAGAGACTATCGACATTTGTATCAGCTCATTGTTTCAGAATCCATTGCGGGTATTGCAAAAGACTGTTTCCGTTCTATGCTTGAAGTATCGGTTCTGAATTCTTACTTCATTTTCGACCGGAAATTGTACAAACAGATAGACGGCGTTGGCATGGGCCTGCCGTTAGGTCCTACCTTTGCAAATGCATTTCTTTGTCATGAAAAGAACTGGATAGAAAACTGCCCATCTGATTTCCGTCCAGTATACTTTAAGAGATATGTAGATGACTGCTTCGCTATTTTTCAGCATCCCTCATTACTTGATAAGGGGATGCATTCAAATTTAGTGAAATTACTCAGTTCGTGGTATAGGTCGCAGCGTTTTCATGTTCGATGGGGTAAGGCATTATCTGATGGTTTTTCCGTGTCAAATGGCGTTAGGCAAGGCGGCATTCTCTCACCTTATTTGTTTAATGCATATACGGATGGTTTATCGACTCTTCTCGACCAAAGTGGCGTGGGGTGCCATTATCTAGGTAGTCTCAACCATCTCTATTATGCAGATGATATGGTCATTCTTTCGCCTACGCCTTTTGGGCTTCAAAAATTGCTGAACATTTGCTCCAAGTATGCGAAAGATCATGACATTCTATTCAATACTAAAAAGACAGTCTGCATGGCCATGCTTCCCGTGAGTCTTCGAAATCTATCACTCCCTAAGATATCATTGTGCAATAGTGTGCTTTCATATGTCGACGAATATAAGTATCTTGGATACCACATTTCGAGCACACGAACCAAAGTGGACAATGTCGAGATTTGTCACCAGTACCGATTACTGTGTTGTCGTGCCAATTCATTGAGTCGTAAATTCGCTTTATGTACATATTCGGTTAAAAAGTATTTGTACAATGCATATTGTTCTAACATCAGCTACATGCATTTATGGCACTCGTTTCATGCATCGGTTCTTCGGAAATTTAAAGTGTGTTTCAATAACGCTGCTAGAATGTTTTTAGGCTACCCTAAATATTGTAGTGCCTCTGGAATGTTTGCGCAAGAACACATAGATGGCTTTGATGCGGCCTACCGCAGAGCTGTGTGGAATTTCATGTCGCGTTTGAAAAAGTCAGAAAACCGAATAATGTCTACGCTGTATTACAGTGATATCGCCCACACATCTCCTATGCGTAAAGTGTGGACTGCAGAATTGTGTGGTTGTTGAGCGCTGCTGATGTTGGTCATATACCCATGTCATCTTCATACCGTCATCATCATTTGATCGTCACGTCATCATTATTGTGTGTTACTTCTTATGGACCCAGAGTCTGCCAATAAAGGGATCTCTCTCTCTCTCTCTCTCTCTCTCTCTCTCTCTCTCTCTCTCTCTCTCTCTCTCTCTCTCTCTCTCTCTCTCTCCCTACCCTTCCTCCTGTACAGTTTTATTCGTGAGTTTTGTTTTTGCGTGGAAAATCTAAGAGTCCATGCAACCTAAGTTTCTCTTCCTAAGTTTGTCTCCGGTTTTGTCATCAGAGCCATCTCTGGTATATCCCGAAGGTCCCGGCGATGCCCACTGACCACTGTGTGCCGGTGCGCACTGTGTCGACGGCGACGGTCTGGATGGGCGCTGGCGCGGCGGCCCAGCTGTCGCGGCCGGCTCATTTGTGCAGCGGCTTAAGCGGCCGACGCACACTGGTCGGAAACGCTCCAGCGAGAGGCCAGCGGCCTTTCCGTAAAAAGTTTTTTGCTTGCTCTTCCACAACTAGTGAAGCAAACTTCATAAAACTTTGCATACCTTCTTTGTCATATGTAAGCTATCATTTGGATGTCAAGCACAAAATATATGACGTGAATCTGTTAAGTTATGACGTCATAATTGAGTATAATACAGGATCTAGCACCACTTTAAGTCAACAAGGGAAATTGGGAGCTGCTATTCGGGCACCGGGAATAGTTTCATGCACTCCTTGCAAGGTCCAGTGCTTCACTTTAGCATTGTTGACTTTGCGTGACGTCATTTATGACGTCACTAATGCCATATAAGTTTTTCGTCAATAACTCCTGATCAGATGGAGCTAGAGAGTGGGGAAAGCCACCATTGGACTCAGGAAGACCTGCCGAATCGAATGATATGCGATATGACCTCCTTCAACCATTTTCGTGACCTGAGGGGCTCCGACCTGACCTTGACCCGAGGTTAACACCTTAAGTTGACTTCACCCGAACACCAAGTATAGCATTCAACGCGCCTGAGCTAGACAAACACGTTGATGCCAAAATCGCGGCAGTGCGACCATTTTTGGCAAAGAAATTAACCTAAAACCGAGCCCGTGCCTTGTGGCACTTACCTGACCTAAGAGGCCACTGGCTGACCTAAGACCTTAAAATCGGGTAGTACCTAATTGTTGCGTCTTATAACGGCACACAGCTCGTTTTTTTTTTCCGCGAGGCTCTAGCTCAATTAGAGGCGAAACGGCGAGGGAGTTGTACCAACCCTCCCCGGTCAATATAGAAAACCAATCGGTCCGGCCAGGGTTAAATACCGGAATTGTGATCTAATGTAAAAAGACGGCCCAGGGTAACCTGACGCCAGTGACAGGTGTCCTATATTTGCAGCGTCTTATATTCACGAAGGTTTCAATTTACACTTTCTTCAGCCGAATGATGGCTGTCAATAGCAAGGCTCTCTAAATGCAAGCCGTAATCGCCACGCAATATGTGGAAGGCTTTTGATGTCAATGCATACATAAATGCATACATAAAACGCGCTTTTCACAAAATTCATAAACCCAAGCGCATCTGTTTTTAATGACCAGTCAACTACGCATGGATGCGTGCAGGCCACACAGGTCAGCGTAAGCCGGGCGCGACGGCCGAGCCGAAACTGGGGCGGGGCGGGCGGTAATGGGTAGGAAGAGTGGCTCCTGCAAATTTTGCGCAAATATGCGCAGTTAGCTTTTATGTTGCCCTGGTGTAAATTTAAATCCTGCTTCAGCTCACAAAAAATCAGAGTGGGACTAGATGGGACTACCAGTTGTTTCCTTACCTAAACTTTGCAGTTATATTCCAGAATCACTGTAGGAGAGCCTTCATAAAAAAGCTACAGTAAATCTTAGTTAGGGAAAAAGTATACCAAAAATTTTGCACTGACCAGTCGGCAACTTCATAACGAACATTTTGATGCATAATATGTGGGATTTCAATTTGGTGTCTATCAGCAATAAGACTCTGAATATCCGGCTCAAGAAACCTCTTGCTCCGCGTCAGTTTCCGAGTTCTGGGATACCCCATCTTCGGGGGCTGATTACAGTTATTTTTGGTCACCCGGATTAGTTTTTTTGGCCTAAGTATAATAATTTGATCAATTTCAAATCGATCTATATAAAAAATAATCCGAAACTCCGGAATCGCCCGTGGCCTCTCGTGAGGGCGTTTCCGACCAGTGTGCGACGGCGCGGATCCCGGTGATGTGACGGCCGACGGCGGGCCGCTGATGAGGCCGCTCCCGCGGGGGTGACAACCGCGGCGACCGGCAGCGCCGCCGCACTGTAGGCCGGCAGCCCGAAAAAGCGCTAGAAATTCCCCCAAACTGACTGTCCGCAATATGAACAAAATAGGTATCATTTAATCCCAAATTGATCGAAGAATACGATTCCGATGCCAGTTTTCCCTAAGGTCAAAATTGAGGTCGTCAGTTGTCACCAAACACAAGACAATTTAGACTCTCTAGTGGCCACCACATTTACCGATTTTCATGATGATCTTTAGTGGTATTTTATTAGCTGACCAATCGTTGTTTTGAACGAACTTTCCTGTCAGACTAGTTCAGGGCACTGTTGTTC